CTTATCACAATCCATACATACATCAATTGTGTAAAGCGCATTTGTACATTCATTGCCCTCATCATTCTCAAAACATTTTAATTTTCTAAACATTTACTTTCTATTCGAGCCCTTGGTATCAGATCCTCTTTTTTCTCCAACCCCCTCATGGCCTCTTAATGATTATTTTCATATCTTACACTGACCGCTGTCTCCCTTCACCCACATTTCTATTGTTCAACCCCTTGAAGTGGGGGAAGAGGTTATGTATTGATCATTGCAATCGGTTCCCCCTTCTCCTCTCTCCACCTTCCCCCTATCTTCCTGGTATAGCACGCTACTAGCATTTCTGTTCCTGAAGGGTTTATCTGACCTGGATTCCATATGTTGTGAGCTTTTATCTGTACCAGGGTACATGCTCCAGTCTAGCCAGAACTGAAAGGCAGAACTGAGGTCATGATGGTGGGTGGTGAGGAAGCCTCAAAGAACCAGAGGAATACTGTGCCTTGGTGACTCATCCCTTCCTGTGACCCTTCTGTGAGGGGATGTCCTAGTGTCTACAGACAGCTGTCCCCCATCCAGGCAAAAGTGAGGGGGGTGCCAAAGAGTACTGAAACTGGATCTCACAGTCCCCTTGGATTGCATGATGTGCGACCTTGTTCCTCAAACCAGAACACCAAGCACCGCCATCAAGTCAGTTTCGGCTCATAACTATCCTATAGAACAGGGTAGACGTGACCCTGTGAGGTCCGAGACTGTAACCCTTTATGGGAGTAGAAAGCATCCTCTTTCTCTCACAGAGCTGCTGGTGGTTTCAAATTCCTGACCTTGTGGTTTGCAGCCCAACATGTTTTCCAAGAGTCATTTTCCTTACAGACTATTTTCCACGGGCTATGAACTGAATCAAGAAGTTTTGACCGATCTCTGCTTTTGGGAAATTAATATATTCATTCCTTTGTTATGTTGATCTTGCTTGTTTGTACAGCAGTCACAAAATCAAATCCCCAGCAGAGTCAGGAAAGTCATTGAAACATGTGGAGCTCATGTGATATTGAGTGGCGAGGATTGGGTCAAGCCAATGTGTGCATGTCCTGGCTATGACTTGAAATCCAGAAAATACCATAGGCCAAGCAGAGCTTATCCATGGGAGAAGGATGCAACTCATCCTTCATCCCTCTAGTTGGCTGCCTCTCTTTTAATGGGGTGACTTGGCCCAATTTTACTTCACTCTGTGGATTCTGTTAGAACTACTGCCTT